TGGGTGAAGTAGGTAGAATATATTACTTCAATTATTATAGAAACCATCTGTAAAGCTATTTAAATTTAGTTATTTTATGCTTGTTATTGGAAAATTAATTTGTCATTAGAGGTTCATTCAGAAGACAATTTTTTTCCTGGTCTAGAAGAATTGCATTTACCATCCCCATTTATTCATGTAAAGTAAATGATTTGTGTCCCAGTGACTCTGAATGACTTATTATTTTCCTAGCTCATGCTCGGCTGATGTTCAGAGATACAGTGACTCTGGTAGATGCTATTACAGTGGTGTCCGTGATGGAATCCTCAATGCAGGTAAGCGTTGATGCTGAGATATTAATTGTAAATACTTAGGTGGGAAAAAAGTTTTTTCTAACCAAATAAACTATCATAAGTCCAAAGATCCAAAGCTTGAAAGAAATTTGGCAAGCATGTAAGGCTTTGGTGTAATATATTCATATAAATGTTTTTAATTATATGGCTAAATTGTAAGTTTGAGGCTAATATTTTCTTCATCTTTGTATCTATTTTAGAGTCTGGTACAGTGTCTTTTATTTAGTAGGCACTCAGTAAATGTTTGTCTAATTTAGTTTATATTGTATTTCTGCCTCTCTAACTTTTTCCATTAATATTTCTTGAATTTCTTTAATTGTTCATTTCAGGTGATTTAAACTTTGTTCCGCTATCTATCCTTCACAGTTCATATTTTTGACTGTTAGATAAGTAATAATTCATGACTGAGTATCTAAGTATTCAAGATTTCTTTTTACTTTGAATATATTAGTAAATTTGATAGCTTTCAACCTAAGGGTTTCTAGAACCATTTCTTCATGTGTAATTCAATTCAGTAAATATTTATTAATCACATAACTACTATGTGATTAATTTACTAGGTGTAAGGCATCAGGGATAGAAAGACAAAAAAAACCCAAAACAACCAGTTCCCGTTGTCAAAGAACTTACGTTTCTACCAAAGGAATATATAACATGTATGCCAAGAAGTGTATGGAACCAAGAAAATTGAGGCAGGGGTTAACACCTGTGGGGGTCAGTGAACGTGTCCCAGAGGATGTAGCACCTGGGTGGAGCCTTGAGGGAAGACAAAATTTCTTTGGGACAGTAATGTAGAGGGAGCATGATCCAGAAAAGCATGGAGACAAGAAGTGGTATGTTGAGTTTGGGGCATGGTTCACTGCACAGGTTGGCTGAAATGTGTAGTTCATGAAGGACAGCCAAAAGGAATAAGACTAGAGAAGTGGGTTAGGACCAGTATTGTGCAGGGACTTGTTGTTGTTGCTGTTGTTTGTCCTTTGTCCTTTGTTCTTGAAGAGGACCCTGATATCAGGGAGGTGATGCCTTGACATGCAGGTGAATTGGATTTAAGTGAGGGAGGGGTGTATCATCAGCTTTACTTTCTTCTCTGGAACCATCTGGGTCCAGTGGCTAGATATAGATCAAGATAACTGGAGATGTCCCAGGATTCAATGGGGTACCTTGGCCCTTTCAAGCTAATGGGTCTTTAACAGGTCTCAGGTTGACTGAGGCAAAGCCCATTCAGTGATTAAGGCAGAGAATGGCCTCTTTAGTAAAAAAAAAAAATCAATCTGAGAGGGGAAGGGTTTCTGGATAAAACAGAAACAATTGCTATTTACGTTACTTAAATAACAGATTGAGTGGTATGTTTTATCCTCTAGGCCATAAGAAGCCTCTGATGTTTTTGTGTCTAGGAGAGACATGATTAGAACAGTGCTTTAGAAAAATTACTTTGACAGTTGTGTGGAAGATGAATTGAAGATGGGTGAGTAGGGAATACCACCCACACTAAGGGAGCAGGAAATGAGTGATAATCCAGTAAAGGAGATGAAGAAGGAATGGTCGGATGCTTAGGAGGAGTACTAAGAAAAAGCAGTCATCATATAAGCCAAAGCAAAAGTCTCTAAGTGTAATCAGCAGTTTGAAAAGTCACATAGAGGCTCAAAAAAGAGAGGGCTGAGAAAAGACCATTGAATTAGAAAATGGTCAAAGGATATGAACAGCTTTCAAAAGAAGAAATAAAAATTGTTAATAATCACTTTAAAATATTAAACTTACTAATAACCAAATAGATAATAAATGAAAAAAACTTTAAGGTGCCACCTTACACCCATCAAGTGGGAAAAAATAAAAGCAATGTTAAATCCATAAAAGCTGATGAAAATGAGGTTGAGGAGGAAAGACGTCTACTTATCCATTACTAGTAGAATTGAAAACCTGAAGAATCTTTTTAGAAAGGAATCTAGAAATCTATATTAAAAGTTACATAAATAATCTTTAATCTATAATTCCAGTTTTGAAATTATGCCTCAAAGCTGTTCTCAGGAACAAATTTTTTAAAAAGCTATCTATGCAGATTTTTGTGTAGCATTATATGTAATTCTCAGAAAATTGGAAATGACCTGCCTAACAATTGTTGAACCAATTAATAAATTGTGGTACACTAATGTGATGGAATACTATAATGCAGCTAAAGCCAGCAAAGGATATAGTATGTAAAAAAATATGGAAAGACCTTTATAAAATGATGTAAAGCAAAAGAAAAAAAGTAGAAGCTGAGAAAAGTGAATGAGAATAAATGGACAGATTTTGATGGAGACTAAGAGGGAGTGATGGAAAGATTGTTGTAATACTTTATGGATTGAAATTATCTAACTTAAATGTTAAATAGTTACTAAGCTGGAAGAGCCAGCCTCAGAACTCGAATGACCTGGGTTCAAGTCCCAATCTTATTGAAAACACCCCCATTTTACATAATGCTAGTTCTTGGTTTTAGATAGACATTATTTACTATATTAAGGAAGGGTCTGTTTATTACTATTTTTCTAATGTGTTGGACATACATGGGTGTTACATTTTGTTGAATTCTAAGTTTTAATCAGAGTCACTCAAGATGCAGTTTTTTTACATATATGCTTAGGGAGGAGTTCAGATGGGGAGAATTCCCTCTGCTAATTAGAACACTCTCTAACCCAAGCAACTTCCTGCTTATGTTTTATAGTAATTGTGAAACATGACAAAATTCCACAATAAAGTGAAATTATTTTATGTATAAGGCTTTTGATTTATCAAATAGAACAATAGTAATGTTAGTGTTTTCTTTAGCTAAGAATAACATTTTCTGTTTTTAAAGGTTAGAAGATCTTTATTAGCTTAAAACAGTTGTCATTGTATTTTTTATTTTTTACCTTTTACCTAATTAGAGAGGGAGGAGGAATTTCCCCATTCACCTGAGAGGAGCTGAGATGAGTATACCCTTAGAGTACTTTCCCTCCAGGGTAACAGTGGATCCTTGAGGTTTATGAGTGGATATGAAAGATAAAAGTAGCTTTTGGGGTTGGTGTTATTATCTAGACTAGCAATTTAGAATGGGGCTGGGCAAGTGCTTGATCTAGATGGTTTGGATATTGACATCAGGAAATCTGAGCTGAGGTGAAGAGGTGAAGGAAGGGAAGAAGTAGGCACTCCACACCCCAGAGTAGTAACCTCCAGTGGGAGGAGTAGGGAAGGTCATAAATGGCCAGTGATGCTCTTGGTGATCATCAGACTAGTTTAGACTTAGAGAAGCTAACAGAACAGGTGGTAAGGCATGGACTAGCTCAAGGTCAGAAGAAGTTGCTAAGATTTCTCATAGAAGAGCAGGTTGAGATGTCAGGCTGGTGCCAAGTGCCCCTTTTTTAATTGAGAGGCTCTGGATTTTCTGAACATTCTCTCATATAGCAGGTGCTGTGTCCCAACAGTAATGAGGCCTTTGAGAGGTTGGTTCTCCTGCTGGGATATCAGTTGCATCTTCTTTAACCCAGGGATCCTTAGAGTTTTTCCTGAAAGGCAATGCTGTATCTACCCAGAGAAGATATGAGATGGGAGATGTGGAGAAAAGAGTCAGCCCAAATGGGTATAACATTACCTGAGCCCTTGGAGTTATTTCTGTCTGATTCAGGCCCTGGAATCTCTAATGGGGCTTTACTGGGATTGCTAAAACCTTGTGTTGACAGAGGAGCTCAACTAAAGAAACTGGATAGCGTTTTGTTAACCATGTAACCATGACTTTTTGTTCTCTTTAGGGAGGTGCTCTTCTGGGAGGTGTGAATGCACTCCATACATCCTTTCCTGAAAACCCCCTGGAGCAGTACCAAATGCAGTGTGAAATGATTCTGGAAAAGCTGGAGCTTCAGTGTCTTCTGAGTGAGGAACTGGGAAGACTTGATAGGTGAGAAAAGAAAAGCCAGAGAAGACTTAAAAAATAATGATAGTCTGACAATGACTGGAATAAGAATTAGCATGTTAAATGGGAAAAGCCTGTAAATTCTACATATTACAGTGTACTATAGTTTGCTGAAAAGTTAACTCTCTATTCTATTGTAATGTCTCATTTAAGAAACAAAAAATTCAGAGTTCAAGTCAATTTAGAAGCATTAGAAGCAAAGAAAACATTATATGGCTGCCTGGTGAGCCAGGGAACCTTGGTAATCTAATCTAATCCAATCCCATCCTACAAGAATTTATTCCTAAATTTTCTTGTTCTTCTGGTGAGCTGGTGTTGAAACTAAAGTAAGGATGAGGCAAGTTTTGTTAGGAGAACGAAGATGTTGTAGGGGAAAGGGAAAGAGTGGAGTAGCCCTTCCTAGCCCTACCAAAGAGAAATACATTTTGTCAGGTTCTACTAGAGATACAGCATGACCTCTTTGAGTCTCAGTTTTCTCATCTGTAAAATGGGGATATTAATGGCAACTATTTCACAGAGTTGCTTTTAAGCCCAAATAATGTGATGTATATAAAATGCCATGTAAACATATCTGCTATAAATACTATTATTCTGATTATGATAATAATAATAATTGCTATTATTACTCCTTTATCCCAAGCAGGAAGTGTGCAGAAATATTGAACATATTGAAAAGCATTCTTGGCATTTATGGAAAACATTCTTCTAAGATACATTCTTTTTTTTTATGAATGATAATTAATTAATTTTATATTATCCCAATAAGGAAAACTAAATTTGTTTCAAATGCATTGTTAAGAAACTGAAATTGGTTTTCTGATATGCCTAAAGTAACTCATTCAATTGGTTAAAAAAGAGAAATAATTAACCTTATGTACCCAGTAATATCTCCGTTAGCCCATGCCAACCACTCAGTTCCTTCCTCCAATACCACTGTCCTACCAGAATATACACACAAATTCAGGTATCTTGAATTTCTACACTTTGATGGCCAAATTGGGCAGATCTGTGAGGGAAGTAGTACTAATATTTTAATAGTAAAGTGTATTTGTTTCAAATCTTTACTGCTCCAAACTGATTGGAAGTTGTTTCATAACTTTCTTTTCTTATAGCTTTTCCAATATTAAGCGTGACAAACTTACTCATAGAAATAGTTAATAACATTATATACCCAGTCAAATTGCAGTAAACTTTCACTTTGTATTAAAAAGTAGCCTTTCCCCCCCTCCCGTTTGGCCTGCTTTAATCCTTCTCTTGATCGAGAGAAGCCATTAAGATCAAAGCTGTTCCTTTGGGTTGTTTACTTTTTGTTGTAACAGATCCTTTTAAAGCTCTCACAGATCTGCCCTTTTGCCTTTGGAAGGTCTGCTCCTTGATAATGAAGGAGAGCTCCCTGTGCCTGTAGTTTAAGGAAGGTCTGGGGGAGGAAAGGAGGGAAGAAGGTAAAGCTCAAAATGAGTGTTGTGCAGTGTGACACCAGCACTGTACCCTTCCCCCTAGCATCAGGAGGACTCTCCCAGAAGAAGAAAAGATTAGGGGAAAATAGAAATCTATGATTCTGCCTTCAACCTTCCTCTCTGCTGTGTGTTTGCATTGAAAGGCAGCCACATTGCTGCAGCCCTCAGAGCAACAAAACCAGATGCAGCTTGGAGATTCCAACAAGAAATAATCTAGTTTTACAAAGTAAGAAAATGCAAGTAGCAGATGGCTCTTTTCCCCTTAGGAAAAAATTCTTTATTCCTTGGGGAAACTATATAATTATAATCAAACAGTTTATATTTATATAGCACCTTTTCATCCCCAAATACTTAAAATCCTGTGTGGCAAATAATGGCCATTTTAATCATCTCTTAAGAAAGAATGATAAGAGCTTCTGTTTAAAAAAATAAAAGGGAGTAAACTACAGGCATTTTTAACAGGGCAGATTTAATTATTAAAGTAAACATTTGGCCAAGAAAATGGAGTTTGTGCTTGGCTGGGGGAGTTGAGTTCGGTGACCCCCTGAGATCCCCTTCCATATCTAAAATTCAAAGATTGTATATGCTTTTCCCTGTAGTCTCACTGTTCTGGCCCAGTGGATGGAGAGCTGGGCTTGGAGTCAGGAAGACCTGAATTCAAATCCATACCTGCTAGCTGTGTGACCCTGCGAAAGTTAATTATTCTCTGTTTGCCTCAGTTTCCTCATCTGTAAAATGGGAATAATAATAGCCCCTACCTCACAGGGTTGTTGTCAGGATTGAGGGAGATTAATATTTGTAAAGCACATCACACAGTGCTTGGCACATAGTTGACATTGCATAAATGCTAGCTATCATTACCATTATTATTATTAAAATGCTGATTGGAAGAAGATGCTGGACACTGACCCTCAGCTAGTCATCTTTTTTTTTAATTTTTCTTTTTTATTTTTAGGCAGTTGGGGTTAAGTGACTTGCCCAGGGTCACACAGCTAGTGTCAAGTGTTTTGTCTGAGGTCCGACTTGAACTTGGGTCCTCCTGACTTCAGGGCTGGTGCTCTATTCACTGCACCACCTCGCTGGCCCCATCAGCTAGTTTTAAATGACTCAGACTCCCAAAGTGACTCAGAATTTTGGGCCATTTAACTGTTCTTGCTCCCCTTTACTAACATGTCATGTCACCTAAATTTATGCTAATGATGCTATACTGATATCTAAAAATTCACTTTACAATTCTGAGTGTATTTGTGTGAGATTATTGAGGCAGGAAAATGCCACTTCCTGATGTAGTGGATAGAGCATAGAATCTGGAATCAGGGTGCCTACGTTTGAATCCTAGATCTCTTTCTTACAATCTCTGTTTGATATTTAGGAAATTATTTAACCTCTCTGGGCCTCAGTTTTCTCATCTATAAAATTAGTGGGTTAGCTTAGATGATCTTTAAGGTCTCTTTTGCCTGGCACTCCTATGAACACTGAATTAATTTTGTAAAGCAGTACCTGACTCTAACATCAAGGGGTTACCACCAGGTCTAGAGGAATTAAAACTTCAAAATGAATGCTTTTTATACAGTTACAGTTTTCTCTCCTTTTTTCTTCCTCCCAGGCTAAAGAACCAAAATTTGCTCTTGTCACAGCCTGAAGAGAAGGAAGTAGAAACTACTTGTGGGTCTTTGGGAAATGATTGGATGGAAAAACCAGAGAATACGTCCCACCCCAACCCTTCTGAACAACAAGAAGCCAACTGTAATGGACAGACCTCCTCTGTTAGAGAAAACACCAAGAGCAGTGCACACTTCAGATCCCCATCACACCAGGGGACAAGTGAAAAGAGAAAGACAGTACCCCCGGGTAAGCCCAACCAGAAAGACAGAGACACCAGCTTGAACTGGTTTGACTACATGGCAAGTGAGCACATAGGTTCTGAAAACAACTTGGCTCTGTCTCCTGTTCCCAGCATGACCAAGGACAGCATGGCTTCAGTGGCACCCAATGACAACTCCCATGGCAAGGAAAAAAGAGCAAGGAGCAAAGTGGAAACTGACCAGCTTCCAGCAGCAGCCAATACAGATGCTCCACTGACTCTCAAGAGGCCTTTTCATTTTGCTAAAAAAAAACCCAACCAGTCAGAAACAGTTACTGAGGAAGCAGTGTCTCCAGAAGGGCCTGATTCAGTGATTACTCAGCATGTCCCTAAGAGACAGCAGAAATCCCAGGAGTTCTCTGCAAAGGCACTAAACTCCCAGATTATTTTGCCTCATCCTCCTGCTGAGATAACTGGGGAAGTTTTAAATTCAGAATCTGGTTTAACTCTCCCTCATCATCCTCACCTTACTCCCTTACAGAGCACTCCTTCAGAGGAAAGTCTAGCATCTGCCATGAGCAAAAGCCACAAAACTGAGAATGAGGTAGAAAAGATAACAAGGAGTGCCCCTGACCATGAGAGTGATGAGGTTCCAGGTCTCCCATTGGCTAAACTGGCCAAGTTTACATTCAAACATAAGTCAAAGCTCACCCACTCTTCTGGAAACAACAATCACGCTCTTCTTCCTGCCACAAGTAAAATTTCAGTGACACGTCCTAGGATTTCTAGCCATAGAACGAATGAAGGACAGCCAGAGGAAGAAGAAACATGCCACGGGAAGGATCCAGAAAAGCCAGTGTCTGTTTCTGGGAAGAGAAGATTAATGGAGCTAATGCACAGCGAGACTAGGGAGGTGGCCCAGCAGCCACAAAAGAAAGATGAGGCAAGAGAATCTGGCCTGGCCACTCACACTAAATCTGGGGTTGAAAACCAGGCCGACCATTGCCTCTTTGCTGGTGAGAGAGAGAAAAAGGAGGATTCATCCAATCTTAAAAGCAAGGTTCAAACTTGCACGTTAACTAAATTAGCAAGCTTCTCCTTTACTGGCCCTTCTGAATCCAAACCAAGGACCCCGCCCACTCCTGGCAATACAAACTCTAGCGGGGGAGGCCTGAGCCATCCTCCTACAGGCCCATCTGTATCCCTTGGCAGAAGGAAAACTTTTCAGTTGGAGGGGGCTGGAGAGAAAGCTGTCATTTCAGGAAAATCTCTCTTCACCTTAACAGAACTAGATGATGATGATGATGATGCATTAGATTTTGATTGGGAGGAAGAAATGAGGAAGAATCCCAAATTGTAGAGTGCCATCATTCTTCCTGCAGTAGAGCACCTTCAGGGTATCAGTGATGTGCTCTCCTGTGACCAGCAGCAAAGCGTCCGATGAAAGGGAGATGGGACCTTCATCCCTGACACTCTGTCAGGGTTTGTGATTTTTACTATGAGCTCCTGTGTGCCTCTACACAATTTGAAAAAGTTGTGTGGTCATTTTAAGTCAGTTTAGTGGCATGTGCTCATAAGAAATAACTCAGTGACTTTGTTCTTAATTCTGTTAACAAACTACTTGTGTTCCAATAGATGTTTTCTGTTAAGCTGGTCTCTCCTGGATCCCTTGTTCCAGTCACTTGTTAACAAGAGCTAAGGCCAGGAAAAAAGCAAATGAGCCTTAATTTTTTACCTTCCTACATCTGGATTCTTTGGGATAGATCATAGTGAAATTACTGCCATTAAGGATATGTGTTTTGCAAATATCATGTGACTTTCTTTGCCTGTCATTTTTGTGTTTCTTATCACATGTCTGATTTAGATTTGTCTGAAATGTTTTCTTTTTTTATGAATTTGCCTTCCTCATTGCATGGTAATGACTAAAGTATGCAATTACTGTTCTTTATCATCTTTGTATTATGTTGGTCTTGAGTTAAACTTTTCTGGGGTTTTCATCTCATTTAAAGGCCACCATTTTCTATCTTAGGATATACTTTTCATTTGGAAGGGAGAAGAAAAGGATGTGGGATAGGGCTAAATCACACGTCGTATGTCTGCTAACCAGATAGACGAAATGGAATTGTGAGCCCTACTTGAGTGATTTATTTGCCTCAAACAGATTCTTCCTTTGGGTTCCCATGTATGTTTCTAGCGCTTCACAGGGCGCCATCATCATGTTTTTTTCTCATCTGAAGAATGAATTTTCATTTCTGAAATGTGTTTACCCAAGCCATCTGGGGGTAAAAAACCTGTAGTATAAAGGACCATAAAAATATATATATATATATGAAGAAAAAAGATTTAAGAATTATCCCTTAACTCTGAATTAGCTTGTCAGACGGTTTTTATTTCAAGTCTGTGATCTCATTGCAAATACTTTCATAGTGTCAGAACATTTAAACAGTAAAAGTTACACCATCTTCTGTTTCTCACACTGTACTGCACCAGATTCCATTCTAATGTGCTTGTGCTGAAGCATGGATTGGATAATATTGTGAATCTTCTGTCTCCTAATGAAGATATGTTCGTGTGTCATTCTGTGAATGTGCAGTGGTGTAGGAGAATTTCCTTCTTCTCTTCCTGCCTTCTTGCCTACCTACCTGTCTTCCTTCTTGCCTTTCCATATTTTTGAGAAATAAAAGGAGAAATACAAATATTATGGATTGTTATCTTTGATCCATGTTAACCAAAATATACAATTTTCTTTTGCTAAAGACATACCTAATTTTAGAATAGCACAAGTTCGTTCTTAATTGAATGAGATTAATTTTCCATTCTAACAAACACTGGAGGAAAGTGACTTTTTAGCACTAACTTTGTATTAAATCTCTTAAATTGTAAAGTACTCTTGATTTTTGTATTTAAGATGTATCCTTTCTCATAGTACAGTACTTTCTGCCCAATTGATAGAATGACTTGGAGACTAGTTACAGAGTAAGTAACTGTCCACACATCAAAAGAATCCTTAGACAAATCCTCAAGCAGATCCTTAACTTTAAGGAAATCTTAACTCTGCCCTGGAAATAGAAAACCTGCCAGAGGCAGAGGCCACATTGGACTAGAAACTTAGTGATACCCCTAAGTAGAATGCCTTGAAGATATGGGAAAACAGGAAGAATTTGAATTTAATAGATTAATAACATATAATACTTTAAAGTTACAAAGCACTTTGACTTACATTATCTCATGTTTCATTACTGACATTCCCATTCCTCCCCACATATTGGATTGTCAGTGGCCCTGGCCCTGCACAACGAAAGAGCATGGAGAAGCCCTGCTGTCCTTTGTGTCATGTACATGTACCTAGGGTAAAAGCAAGCAACTGGCCTACATTTTGCCTCTGACTTTAGGGTCTGTAAGCTCCTTATTGTACAAAGAGAGGAGACCTCTTGGTGGCAAACAAGGAAAAGCCCACTCTTACCCCCAAACAACCACACAGATTATTCATAGGGAAGATTGGAGGTTGTGAGATAATTGACTCTCAAGTTATTCCTCTCCTTTCTCCTGCCTCAGTCCTACTCTCACTTTTCCACCTACAATGCTTATAGAGAGAACACATTGGAGATATTTGTAGTAGGGAGTTACTTGTCTCTGATAACTTGAAATTGTTGTAGTTTTAAAATAATCATAATGTAAATTTGAAAATAAAGACAAATATTAAAAAAGGAAAATTGCTATTTTTAACTAGACCTGTGATTTAATTGGTATAGGGAACTCCCAGCAAAGAAATCCCCACTCCACTGCAGATCAACAACTGTTCTCAACCTAGAGTTGTAAGAGAATTGCCTGAGGCACTGAGAGGCAAATGGCATGTTCAGGATCACACAGCCATTTTGTGCCAAAGGTGGGACTTGGACCTAGGTTTTTTTGACTGTAATGCCAGTGCTCTATCCACTATGTCTAGTACATCTATATTGGTCCTAATTTCATCAGGAAGTGGAGAAGAAATGGTTTATCTTGTGAAAGCAAACCAGTTGTTTCATTCCATGAGACTGTCTTTAGTTCTAAGTTCTAAGTGTTACCCTAATGGCCTAGAAAAATGGATGGGCTCCCAGGATGCAATGAGTTTGCACTGAGCCCTTAATTAATTGGGATGAACTTACTATCTCTGCAATAACCCAAGTCAGTGAAGATATTACAAATACAGTATGAGTTTTTCATTCGTTTGTTTTTGGTAATGGGGGAATGGACCACATGAGGAATCAGAAAACCTTTTAGTGTGTTCTAGTTTGAATTTTATCCCTGCTAGTGTTGTGATTAAGTCCATTATACCTCTCTGGGTCTCAGTTCCTTCTTTTCATAAAGTCAGAGGATTAGACAAGAGATTCTTGAGAGGCTAGATGGAGTGCTAGTCTCCAAAGTCAGAAAGAGCTGGGTTCAAATCCCAAGTTAGAATTAACTATGACCATGAGCGACCTCTCTGAGCCCCATTTTTTTCAACTGTAAACTGAATACAACAAAAGTACCTACCTCACAGGATTGTTATGAGACACAAATTAGACAATTTATGTAAAGCATTTTGCAAACTTTAATACATTACATCAAAATCAGATGTTTTCATCCAGTGTCACTTCTAGCTCAGATTTCATGAAAAGGACTAGACTTATGATTTCATTGGGATAGGGAACTCTAAGACAAGGGAACTCCTTCTACCAATAATGCAGGTCAGCATCTTCTCAGCCCTTGAATGACCTTAAAGTGATCAACAGCCTTGAGGATGAGATTATGGGCATTGCTAGTAACATGAAAGGCATATACCTTCAGCCTGGGGACATTCTGGATCTTCACATCATCTGTCACAGTCCCAGCAACCACAGCTGTCTTGTTCTTCCTGCCCAGGAGCTCCATTTTTCCCATCATTTGGGACAGGGATGGGGATGGGGTGGGATGAGGGGTCAGGGTGGGAGTGGGGAGGCAATTGGTCTGGCTCATAAATAGACTTTTCAGTACAACTTTGCTGAAAGCCAAGTTGGCCCTGTGGGTCAGGAACCAGTACAGCTTCATCAGCAGCCACAGGTAGATGGCCTGGCTTTTGGGCTCCTTGAGCCATATTTTCTGGTCCTTGTGGCAGATGTCAACTCCTATGCTGACACCCTCCCAAACACCAGCCCAACCAGGAAAGAGAATAACCATTTGTTGAGGATATTATAGAAGGAATTCCTGTTCAGGTATGAGTAGAATAGATGGATTGAACCACAATTCCAAAAGGCTCATTATGAAACATGCTAGCCACCTCCAGATAGAGAGCTGATGTACTGAGAGTACAGATTGAAGCACATTTTTTTTTGGACACAGCTAATGTAGAAATTTGTTTTACTTGACTATATATATTTGTAATGAGTTAAGTTTTTCTTGCCTTCTCAATGGGTGGGAGGGGGAAGGTGGGAGGAAGAGAGTTCAGAACTGATATTAAAATAAAATTGAATTATAAAAAGAATAAAGTCTCAGGTCTAATCTAACCCTTAGATTCAGGTATCTCTAAGGTCCTCTCCAACTATAATTCCTATGATACTATAATCTCTTCCAGCTGTACAATTCCATAACTGTGAACAGAGAGAGTCAGGAGTAACTTTCTGTGGTGTTTAAGGCAATTTTTTCTTCATGTTTCTCTTTTCCCTTGTGTAAAATGGGAATCCTAAGTACTTCATACTGTAATTCTTGGAAATTCTTATATGAAAGAGAATTTGTACTCATTGGGGAAAAAAAAATCCCTCTTGGCAGTCAAGATATTATTTGTATAAAGATACCACATTATTTCAAATTTTCAGTTTTATAGTTACCTTAAGAAATATATCAAAAAATAAGTGCATCTATTTCTTAGTCCTCATTTCCTATTCTTGATCAAAATTAAATAAAAATGGTAGCTCAGAATATTTTAGGTCACCTAATAATGCAAGATTTATCCTTAATTATTTTTTATCATCTTCTAGGAAATTAAACTGCTAATGAATCCAAGAAATTGTAACTGAAAACTCCCTTGGAAGGTTTATTAGATCTCAAGACCTTTGTAGTCACCTTCTCTCAAGGGTATTCAATTTGTTGCTTTCAAAGGGAATGGAAAATGGCCTGTTGCCAGCAGCACAGCAAGTCCTTAGAGGGGCTCAGTTGCACAAAGATAGTTTCCCTGAGGACTTGTAAAGATGGAAGAACTGTGTATTTGCACATGACCTGTTACTGAGGAGGAAGGCATCCACAAAAAACCACTTGGGTTTTTTTTTTACCTGGTTATTTGCTTTGTGAATGCTGTAAAAGAGATGGGATTATAATTTCAATTGAATGAGAGGTGTCCATACTATGTCAATTCAATGGAGACGAAATGCAGCTATATTAATTGACTTATTAAACATTTTAATATAGAAGAGCGAGATAGTACAATGAATGGATAGACTTCCAGACCTGGAGTCAGGAAGACCTAAGTTCAAAATCCAGCCTCAGATACCAGCTGTGTGACCCTGGGAAAGGCACATAACCTTAATTTGTTTGTTTCCTCATCTGTAAAATGGGGACACCTCACTCCCAGGATTGTTGTGAGGATCAAATGAAATAACAATTGTAAAGCATTTAGCGCAGTGCCTAGCACATAGCAAGTGATATGTAAATGCTTTAAAACATGTCGTGTCAATAGTGTAAAAGCTGTTATTATTTTTTAACCTGAATTAAGTTAGGAATAACAAGCATTTCTGGGGTAGTGGGTAGAGTGTTGGCCTCAGAGTTAAGAAAACCTACCTGGGTTCCCAGCTCACGTCTGGCACATACTGGCTACATAACCCTAGGCCAGTCACTAAACCTCTCAGTGTCTCAAGCAACTTTCTAAGACTATAAGCTGCAGAGCAGTTACTGACCTGCACTGGTAGAGGTGGTTCCTCACTGCAAGTTGTCTTAACAGTAGAAATCATAAGATTGGCCCCAAAAAGTAGCTTTTTTTTTTCAAATTTCCCATAGAGACCAATAAAATCTCAGTACTTAAAATGATTTTGGTATTTTTATTTTAGGACAGCCTCAGATACTTACTAGCTATGTGATCCTGAGCAAGTCACTTAACCCTGTTTACCTCAGTTTCTTCATCTGTAAAATGAGCTAGAGAAGGAAATGGCACACTATTCCAGTATCTTTGCCAAGAAAACCCCAAATGAGGTCAGAAAGAGTTGGAGGTGACTAAAACAACTAAACAATTCTCCCTCTATAGTATTTCTCACATCTCTCCCCTGGCCACCCATCACCCTATTTCAGGCCCTCACAATAACAAGTATCCAGTGTTTGCTTAAAGGTCTCCAGGGAGGGGGTGGAGTACTTCTTCTTAAGGCAGCTCACTCTACTTTACTACAGCTCTAAACATTAGGAAGTTTCTTTTGACGCCAAGATCAAATATGTATCATCTCTCTCACATGAGAATGTGAGCTCCTTGAGATCAGGGCCTGTCTTCATATCCCCAGTGCTTAGCACAGCACTTTGCACATAGGAAGCATTTAATAAAATGGGTTTTTTTTAATTAATTCATTTATCCATTCCTAAATATATCCCTGATCTACATTCTACCATCCACTCAGCCATAAATAAAATCTTCCGGTGGTATAGGTTTGATCACTCCCCTGCTCAACACCCATCAGTGTCTTTTTATTGCCTCTAGGACAAGATACAAACATATCAATCTGGCATTGAAGTCTTTCCATGGTGTAGCTCCAATCTACCTTCCCAATCTCATTTCACATTATTCTCCTCCATGAGTTCTATGTTCCCTGAACTCGACCTCCTATTTCCCACCTGTCTACATTTGCTCAGATTTTTTCCTGTAGCTTGAATATATTTCCTTATCTCTGCCTCCCAATATCTTCAGCTTCCTTCAAAGTTTTTCTCAGTTGCCACCTCTGTTAAGATTGGTTGAGTCATGGGCAGCTAGGTGGTGCAGTGGATAGAGCACCAGCCCTGAAGTTAGGAGGACCTGAGTTCAAATCTGGCCCCAAACACTTGACACTAGCTGTGTGACCCTGGGCAAATCACTTAACCCCAATTGCCTAAGAATTTTTTTAAAAAAATTAATTTAAAAAGAAAAAAAGATTGAGTGAATGATCTCCTCCCTCAAGTCCATGCTGAATATCCAGTACCAAACACCACTACCACTATTGCTACTACTACCACCACCACTACTACCACTACTTCTTCACTATTCTAGTATCTTTATTTTTTCCTCACTTAATAGTATTTTATTTTTTCCAATTACTTTTGGTTTCAAATTTTTTCTCCCTCCCCTTCCTTCTCCGCAAGACGGCAAGCAACCTGATATAGGCTATACATGTACAATCATATTAAACATATTTCCCCATTAGTCATGCTGTGAAAGAATGAGAACAAAAGAGAAAAACCATGAGAAAGAAAAAAAAAGAGAAAATAGTATGCTTCAGTCTGCGTTCAGACTCCATAGTTCTTTCTCTGAAAATAAAGAGTATTTTCCATCATGAGGCTTTTGGAATTGTCTTAGATCATGGTGTTGCTGAGAAGAGCTAAGTCTATCAAAGTTGGTAATCATACAATATTGCTGTTACTGTGTACAATGTTCTCCTGGTTCTGTTCACTTCACTCAGCGTCAGTTCATATAAGTCTTTCCAGGTTTTTCTGAAATCTACTAAAACTTCTGATGGAAGTAGTCCATTGGTATCCAAGAG